TAAGACAACGGTGTGTAGCTGGACCTTTCATTCTTGTGCACCTAATAATAAACCCTACTGGAGGAGAGGCACTGGATGCGCTTCAGATTGAGCAGAAATCGATATTGAAATGACAGGTAAACATTTGTTAAACTAGCTACTGAACCTCAGCCACTATTGTGATTAAACTCTTTAGTTCGGGGTTTTTATTTAATGATCAATAGAATTTATATTTTAAAAGAACTCAAAGAACACGCCACAGCTTTCTGAATACACACATTTAGTTAGAAATTACATACTGTCTAAGAATTTGATAGTCATGTTGTTTTAGATAATTGGATTTTATGCTTGGTAGATATGCCAGGGCGCTAGTATCTCGCAGGTGTAATTGATCATCCTACTTCCTCATCAGGATAACATGGGAGAACGCCGCAGCGCTACAATTTTCACTGTTCAGAGTGTTGGCGACATACTGTGCATGTATAATAGCCATATGACTCTAATAATCCTTAAACTATTGGGATCCCTGTTGATATTTTAGTGTTGGAGGTATCTTTTTACCTTGAAAAAAAATAAGCGATTTTTGAAAATGTTTAAATTATTTCATGAGCAGTCTTTTAAATTTCGTTTAACCTAAAACCTGAAATTTCAATAATAAACAAAAACTCTTTAACAAGACTGCCACCCAACTTAAAAGGTGTCTACCTTGGCTTTCACGTTTATAAAATTTTATTCTTTGAAGCGCAATGATCAAATCCTCTGCTCTGGAAAAGTACAAGAGGGTATTCCATAATCTCATGTTCTGTATCATTTTATTTTCTATCAATTTTGAAGTTAAATATGAATAAAGTAAATAATTATATACAAAAACCAAAAAAATACTTTATATAGAAAAAAATCAAGACTATCTGTTAATCCAAAGACACCATTACGAAAGTGAAAAGGCAATCCACAAAGGAGAAGGTTTTTGCAATAATACATCCAGCAGAGGACTTGCATTCAGAATATATAAAGAACTCCTAGAAATCAATAATTGAAAGACCCAATAGAAAAACGGGCAAAAGACTCAAACCATCACTTCACAAAAGAGGATACCCAAGGTGCTAAACTACATTTAATAACCAGAGAAATGAAAATGAAAGCCACAAGGTGAGATCTCTACTACCCACCAGAGTGGCTAACATGAAAAAAATCCAGACAATACCAAGTGTTGATGCGGATATAGAGCAACTAGAACTCTCAGACGTTGCTGGTGGGAGGATGTGTTAGTACGGCCACTCTGGAAAACTGTTTACCTCTATCTCTTAAAGTCCAACATAAGGATACCCTATAACCCAGAAATTCCACTCCTAGGCAGAATGCATTCTCCAAGGGAAATGCATCCATGTGTTCACCACAAGCCAGGCACTAGAACTATGCCGTCCAATATGGTAGCCACTAGCTACATGGAGCTACCTTAATTAATTAAAACAAAACAAAATGAAAAATTCAGTTCCTCAGTTGCACTAGCCACATTTCAGGTGCTCCAGAGCTAGATGTGGCTGTCAGAGTGGACAGTGAAGATACAGAACATTTTCATTATCGCGGAAAGTTCTATTGGCTAGCACTGTACTAGATCGTTCACAGCAACACTATTCATTCATGGCCCCAAAGTGAAGACAACTCAAATGTCCATTAAAGTAGAATGGATAAGTTATTTGTGGCATATTCACACAATGGAATACTATATAGTGATGAGAATAAATGATCTACAATTATACGCAATACCATGGGTGACTCTCACAACAGATTGTTAAGCAAAAGAAGCCAGACAAGAAGAACATATGGCATGATTCCATAAATATAAAGTTCAAAAAGAGGCAAAACTCATTTACGGGGATGGAAGTCGAGACAATGGTTGCTTTTGGCATGGGGTAGTGACTGGAAGAGCACATGGGAGGAATTCTAGGTAATGATGTATTTCTTTTTCTTTTTTTGAGGAAGATGAGCCCTGAGCTAACATCTGCCACCAATCCTCCTCTTTTTGCTGAGGAAGACTGGCCCTGAGCTAACATCCATGCCCATCTTCCTCTACTTTATATGTGGGACACTTGCCACGGCGTGGGTTGATAAGCGGTGTGTAAGTCCATGCCCGGGATCTGAACCGGTGAACCCTGGGCTGCTGAAGTGGAGCATGCAAACTTAACTGGTATGCCACGGGGCCAGCCTCAATGATGTGTCTCTTGATCTGAGTGTGTTCAATTTGTGAAAATTCATTGAGCTGTACACTGATGATCTGTGTATCTTTCTGTGTGCATGTTACATGTAGTGGTGTGCCGATAAACTAGCTTTCCAAAGAAAAATAGAAAGAAAGAAAAAAGAAAAATCCCTGATTTGTAGTGTTTGCCAATTTCCACAGTGTAAATACTCCCATCATGGTAGAGTTTAAGCTGGTTACCAATGGTTTAACAATGGTTCACAAAACTCCCTAACTGTTGACTCTTGTCAGCTGGTATTTCTACTAAACAAACAAAACCCCAACTCTAGAAAATCTGCAGAAAAGGAATTCCTCAGTTCTCACTCCAGATGTTCAGTGTCCTGGTGTCGGGACCCAAGGGGAAAGCCTGCAGTGGGCTGGGGTGGGGGGTGGGGAGGGTTTGCTGCCCTGACTGTCCACTGCCTCCAACCAAGGCTGAGGGGGGACCAGGCTGTGACAGCCATTGTCCTTTTAAAGACATAGCTTGGGTCAGTTTTCCTTTCAAAAGAGGGCTGCTCTCTCTCTGCATCTTCACTGAGAACAGGGCAGCCGGCTCCATTTGAAAGAGCACTTTATGCGGAGTCAGGCTGGGAGCCTCACAGTTTCAGCCCCAAACACACTGTGAGGCCTGGTCCAGCCTCCCTCCGCATGTCAGTTTCTGCATCTGCGGCGTGAGGCAGTTGGGGAAGAGACCCAGGGTAAGTCCCGTAGGGTCAGCAGATGACCTCTTACATCCAGTCTACAGGGTAGGGAGAATCCGTTTTCTTGAGTTACCCCATCAGGTGCCTGTGATGGGGTTCTGCGAACAGCTGGCACCTGGCCACCCCTGAGGAAAGCCTGTCTAATGAAGGTGGGCCGTGGGCCAGGTCCCCTCTCAACGCCAGCCTGGGGCTAGCTGGGAGGGAGGAGAGGAGACACGACCTCCCCTCAGAGCAGTGGCGGGAGGACCCTCAGGGAGGAGCCTGCAGGGAGGAGCCTCAGGGAGGATTGAGTGAGTTCTGCAGCTCTCACGGTGGCATTAAAGAGCCAGAGGAAGAGAAGAACAATCTTTTTGAATAGCTCTGTGCTCACCAATCTCTCACGGTCACACTGGAAGCTGGGTCTCATTATCCCATTTTATAGGTGAATAAACAGACGCTTGGGCAATTTAAATGCATTAGCTCTGATGGTTTTTGAATCTGGGTCTTTCAGCTCTGGCTGTTTTTACTGCATTAGGCTACATCCACCCCCAATCCCTACTCTTAGCCCCATTCCTAGGCGAGACAAGTATCATCCAGGGGCTGGAGAGCCTGGCATACGGGCAGAGGAAAGCTCTGGAATGACTCTCTCGAGCAAGGCCTGGAGGTCACCTACAGACATGGAGTCCAGGTGGGCTCAGGTGGGCAGAGGGAGCAGCCCCTGGAAGCTGATGCTTTGGGGACGAATGGGGGACATGGTGCTTTAAAAGCAGAGAGAAGCAAGTAGAAGGAACTCTGGGAGGTGAAAATGTCCTCAAGCTCCCAGAGGGGCCAGTGTGGCCAGTGCCCTGGGCTTGGACCCTGAAGCCCTGCTTTTGAATCCTGTTTCCTCCTCCAGTGGTCCCTGGGTCCACAGGGCATGGGACTTCTCTCTTGGGGCCTCTCTCTCCTGTCTGGGAAGCATGCAGGCCTGCACACTTCTGTGGTGACATCGTGGAGGACGACCAGCCTTGCCCAATCAGTGCAGCTGAGTTTCGGGGTAGCTACTCTAGGGCAGCCCTTGGCCGAGAAATGGCCATGTCCTCACACATTCCTGCTTGCAGGTAAATCCTCCCCAGTGCACGTGGCTTTGGGACGCCGTGGGTGACAGCTCTGGGGAGCATGCTTCCCTTGGCAAGATTTCTAGATACAGAAACCATTTTGCCCTCCACCAACCCAAAGCTCAGTCTCTAGATCCGCCCGTTCCCCACACTCTCTGGTTGCAGCAGAAGAGGCTGGAGGGGGACAAGATGGAGATAAAGGGACAGGAGGCCAGGACGGTGGCCCAGGTGGCGATGATGGTGTCTTTGGTCCAGGAGTTAGTGGTGGAGGTGGCAAGATGGGGTCAGATTTGAAGATGAAACTGTTAGGATTTTCAGATTAATTGGATTTGGGGTGAATGAGAAGGAGAAAAAGTGACAAAGTTTGAGGCCTGAGCATGTGGGAGGACTGAGCTGCCACTTACTGAGAGGGAGAAGATGAGGGGCAGGTTTGGTGGGGGACCCAGCCGAGATTTAAGGTTTGGACAGGTAACATCTGAGATGCCCTGTAGACACTGTGTGGAGATACAGGGCAGACAGCTGGATATATGAGTCTGGAGTTCAGGGAGAGTAGAGTCTGGAGGTGTAAATTTGGGGACTGTCAGTGTATGGATGCTGCTCAGTAACACGAGGCTGGGTGACATCACCCAGGGTGCTCACTGCCAGGGGATGGTGAAATGCAAAAACTGTGCCAGCTGGGACCGCTCCGCAAAAGCCGGGAGTACCGCTACTGTTATTATTACTATACTAAGTGCTCAAGCCGATGCTGATGTCCTCTTGCCAGGGACACTGATATAAAATGATTGTGCCTGGAAGATTAGCTATCAGACGCCGAGCGCCTGCTACAGTCAGACTCTGTGCTAGACTGGATGACCCTGAGGAGGGGCAGCCAGGATGTTCACAGGCCATGACGTCCTGCCCCAGAGTGGACTCTCCATTCAAGGGCTGGGGGTGAAGGGTGGACCTGACTCCACCCTTGTCCTTTTGTCCAGCTGCAGGTAACCAAAAGTGAGCCCTGGAAAGACTCACCTGGAATGTATCCCTGGCCCCACCATTTTCTAGCTGTGTCACTTAGATTAGTTTCTTCATGTCCTTGAGCCTCAGTTTCCTCGTGCGTGGAATGGGCACACTGACCCCTCTCTTGAAGAGCTGTTTCAAGGAAGCAAGGAGGCCACGTAAAGAAATGCTCTTAAGGCCTTGGAATCCCTTTACAATGTGATATACAATGTGATATTTTAAATGTGATTATCTCATTTGATCCTCACAGCAACCCTCTGACATGGATATTCTTATCAACTCCTGTTTTACAAAAAAGGAAACTGAGGCTCAGAGAAATGACCAGCTGAAGTCACTCCTTCTTTTCCCTTGCCCACTCCAAAGTCAGACCTCAGCAGGGAATGGACAAGGGTTTCATTTCCCAGGGTAGTGCCTACATGTGTTTACAGAGAGTCTGAGGTTGTATCCAGGCTCAGTAGGAAAGAGTGCTGCAATTGATTAGCAATGTCTGCTTTGAGTACAGAAGTGGTAAATGGTGTACTGCGTCCCCTCATTTGCCCTCCTTGCCTTCAAGTCCTTCCTTCTGTTGATGGCTAAGTCTCTGAAGAGGCAATGGTTACAATGAGCAGAGCAGAAAACAGTAGTATGTGGTCCAAACCCCAAATTCATCTCCGAAGTCCCCATCTTTCTCCATTTTTCCCACTCTATCACCAAAGACTTGAGTAATATTAAGCTGTGTAGAGAGAGGGTGGTCAAAAGGACAAGACTTTCAAGTTTCTTGAGCATCTTCTCAGTGCCTGGCACCCAGCTAGATTCTCCTTGTGGCATGTCAAATCTGAGCATCAAACCAAAAGGCTAGTTCAACCATTTCCATCTCACAGACCAGCAAAGTGACGTTTCCAGATATTAAGTAGCTTGCTCCAGATCACACAGCTGGGAAGTGTCAGCAAGAGCTGTATCCAAACCCAGGCACTGTCTACCAAACCACATCGACTCTGAGGGAGACCCCAGCCCACCCGGAGGCTCTGCCAGGCTGCGATTCCAGGCAGCCTGGGTTCTTAGCAAAGAAAAGCCCCACCTGACTTCTCTATGGATCAACGGATACCACTTTCTGTCCTCCTTCCTGCTTTGCTATAGGCTCAGTATCCCCTGGGGACCCAAAGCCCCTCCTCTCTCAGATCTGTTCCCCAACGCCAGAGGGAGGCAGGCCACCCCCATGGCACAAGGAGCTCCCTGGAGCTGCCGTCTGCTGGTGGAGAAGAAGAGGTTGTGAAGCATCTGTTCTTGGATCCTGCGTCCTGGGGAATCCTGGGCCACCCTGCCCAGCTGGGGCCAGATGGAGAAGGCTCCCACGCCTCCAGCCTTCCCAAGCAGCCAGGCTGGTCCTCCTCCTCCTTGCTAGTGCTTACGGCTGGAAAATGGCTCACAGGCCTGGCACTTGCAGGCAGAAGACCCGACTTCCCTCTCGCAGCCACGTGGCCAAAACCCCTCTGGGCTTCCCTGGGCCAGGGGTTCCCCTGCCTTCCCCCTCCCTGTTCTTGCCTCCTCTCTCTGCCTTGGTCTTCTCACTTGGTTGGGAGGGGACGATGAGGTCTGCTGGGGCTGTCTCTAGGAGAGGCTGATGAGCTGAAATGCCTGGGAGGTGAGATGGGGTGGGGGATGCTGGGGGTGTGGGCGGTGCCAGGGAGGAGTCTGCCTAGCCTGGTCTGATTAACGCCCACCTGACTCCTGAGAGGCCAGGGGACGGTCCCACTTCACCCAGTGTCTGAAGCTGTGCAAGCCAGGCAGACCGGTGCCTGCTGCCCTGCTCCCCACTGCCCGGTCCACCTTCTCAGCTCCTTCCGCGACCTCCTGACATCTGACTCCCGGGGCAGGGTCTTGCTCCTCGGAAAATTTGGGGCTTGTTTTTCCTTCTGGGGACTTTTCTTTTTACCCTTCTCAACTGGTGGGGGGGCTGGAGGTGTAGAACCCAAAGAGGAACAAGCTTTGGCTCCTACCCTCAGTTTTTCAGGTTTTAACAGGCTTTGGGATCATATGTACTGACGGCACAGGATGCCTTTGTGAACTACGAGAGTTGAAGCAGTTCCCTGTTAGGTGTCTAAATTCGCGGAGCAGGAAAGGATGTGTTAAAAGAGAGGGCGTGTGGCCTCGGCAGGGCCCTCCTGGGACTTCTTGTTCCGTTCCTCAGGGTGTTCCCATGTCAGGTGTCTTCTGGACGGCTGGAGCGCTCATGGTTCTGCGTCCCTTCCAGAACCTGCGTGAGAGCCTCTGGTCTGCGAGCCCAGGAGGCTGCCTACGGGCATCTCTTCATCTCGAGTCCCTCACTTGCCCGGTTGTTCAGTAAACATTTATGAGGCAGTGATTTCCAGGCTGGGTCTGACAAGGGGGCCTGGATTGGGGTGAAGTCAGGATGGAGATCTAATTCGGAAACCCCCGGGGGGGCTCCTGGGTGGTTGGCAGTAACGGGTGTGTGGGACGGGAGTTGAGGGTCACTCCCAGATTTCTGGCCTAGGGACTGAGCGGATGGTGGTGCCCTAAACCAACAGAGCAAAGTCAAGCAAAGCCAGCCTGGAGGGGAAGGCAAAGAGTCCAGTTTGGGCCGGGCTGGCTCTGAGGCGCGGGGGTGAGGACCGCCCAGGAGAGAGGCAGCAGAAGGCAGAGGAAGGAATCGGGTGGGAGAGAGGCTTGGGAGCTGCCGGCCTAGAGGCTGCAGCTGAAAGCAGACTGAGGACGAGGAGTCCCGGAGTGTTCGGGCGAGAAGTCCAGGGGCGGGGTTGGAGCCCTGGGGCCCCAGTGTTCCCTCAGCGTCAGAGGAGACGGTGAACAGATGGCCGGACGGCCAGAAGAGCTGCAGGAGAGCGAGGAGGGCTCCGAGTCAGGGAACCCAAGAAGTCATCAGGAGAGTGAAGTGACCACAGGGTCATATGCAGCTGAGAACTGGAAAGGCTGGGATGGATTTAATGACACAGACGTCAATGAGGTGTTGGGGTGGGGGTGCCGAAGTAGGGGACAGGGAGCACTTCTCAGACAAGTTCGGAGAAAAGGGGAGGAGCTGGACCGGACAACATGAGAAACCCCAGCAGAGGAGGAGAAAGATGGAGGAAGGGGTGAGCTGGGACAGCCCCACAGCCCCCGGCCTGCCACTGCCTAGGTCCCCTTCTCTCAATGAAACCTCAGCAGACCCCAGCCTGGATATGGATACAAGCAGAGCTGCTCTGGCTGAAGCAACAGGTGGGGGAAGGTGGGGGGGTGCCTGGGGCTCTGCCTGCCTGGGCTCCTCTCACCCTCCTAGGAGCCTCACAACAGCTCTGAGCTCCTGGAACCATCGGGCTGACTACCCTTTGTTTTAGAGATGAGGGCTGGCTGGCCAAAGCCCCAGAGAGAATCTGGTGGCAAAGTCAGGAGCTTCAACTTCCCCCCGATCCACTGCCTCCAGCTCCTCATCCAGAGCGTTCGACCATACATTTATTCACTCAACAAACATTTACTGAATGCCTACTGCATGCCAGGCACCAGGCCTGTAGTGGGAGGGGGCACTTCAGAGATGTGCAGGAATTGCTTCTGAACAGCCCAGAATATTGATGCCCACACCCTGGAGTCCTCAAGAGGTACATATGCAGAGGGCTGTCCTGGGGCCATGGCCTCTATTACTGCAGACAGACAGGGCTCCAAAGGGCCTGGCTTGACCCCGGAAGGTTCTGGAAAGCCCTCCACACTCATCAGCCCCAGCCTTTTCCACCCCAGCTGTTCATAGGGGTGAGGACACGACCACCCCAGCCCTCTGTGGGGCTGTGTCCCTGGGCTCCGACGTGCTCTGATGGCAGCCTTCTCACCCACCTGGGACCTGGGCTTTGATTTCCTGATTAGCCAGAACAGCAGCCACAGTGACAACAGTAACAATAGCGTATCAAGCTTGTACTATCTATCAGAAATGCTCCTATTAGCTCTAACCTGTGCCCTCCTTGGCTACCCACAGCAGCCAGCAGCCACCCCCCCCAAACACCACTCTTCACACAATGAACCACCCTGCCACCTTAGTCCTCAGCCTGCCTGGTCGTCATCCCACCCAGACGGGATGTGCCAGCTCCCCCTACCCCTCACTGCAGCAGCCCCTTGATGTTCAAAGATTTAATAATTGGGGTTTTGACTATTTGGACGAGAGGCCCCCCCAAGCCCAAGATGCATGACATGCAACCGATGGTACGAATCTGAACAGACACTGGTGAGTCGGGGTGAGGAATTCGCCAGAGGAGCGTGGGAGAGGGGAGATGACAAGGGGATAAAGGGGGTCTAAGGTTGGGTCCTGATTTCACACAGACTCACAGTCCCAACTCATCAAGGAGAAGGGATAGGGAGGTTAAGCATGTCCTCCCAAAGTTCAGCAAGTGATGCTGGTTTTGGTGGGCTCAGGGGACATCACGGGAGGAGGAAGGTGGTTGCCATGGAGAGATGTGAAGGGTACCCAGGGGTTAGGGTGGTAGCATGAGTTGGTGAAGGTAGGGCTGGTGGAGACTAGAGGAATCAGCCAAAGGGGGCTGCAGCCTTGAGCCCGAGGGGGGCTCCTGACTGAGTCCATCGCCTGGACTTGTGGGCGTCAGGGAGCCATGAGAAGAATGTTATGTGCAACATCACGTAATGGCTTCATTAGAGGAAATGAATTAGTAAATGAGGGGCTTCATGGTGGGCATGCTCCGGGAAGGGTTTCCTCAGGACAGACAACTCAAAGGAGTGTGTTCTATGGGGCACTGATCCCGTGAGACGTCCTTGTGGTCAGTTAAGTCTGTGAAGACCACTAGGCTATCTCTTTCCTGTGGGAGCCTCACAACACACATTACTACATTAAAGGCTCTGAAAAGTCCTGCAGTAGCAGAATGTAACTTGTCTCACTTAGCATTTCCCACACTCATTTGGCCATGAAATTTTTTTTTAAAGTAACCCCATTAATATCCCTGGGAGGAACCCCAATCCACACTTTGGGAAGTGCTGATACAGAAGGATTGGCAAAACGTCTCTTGCAGACGTCAGGGGTCTTCTGTGTCGCCCTCCACCCGTCATATCACATCAGCCCCTGATCAGACCCGTGGAGCTCTTTGGCCCAACATCCTAGAGACATTCTCTGCAAGCCCGACTCCAGGCTCTGCCCTCGCCTGACCCCGCGCCACGGAAGTTTGCGGGGGAGGGGGAGACTTACAGGGGCAGGGGCGTTTGAAGGACATGTAATCCTTGGAGCAGAACAGCGGAGCCAGCCTGCCCACGTGTACAGCTCTGACTCCTCGAAGGAAAGGACTCTCCGCTCACCTGCAGAGACACAAACAGGCAGGTGATGGGGGCGCCCGGGTGGCACCCCGACCCTGCAGGCTGGGCACTCGTGTCCCCTGGGCTGTCAACCTCGGGGGAGAGGATGGTGACTTTGAGAGCATGTTTCCAGTCTGGGCGGGGGCCTGGGGGAGCTCTGGGCCGCGGAATATGGAGGGGCCGGCGCAGGGGTAGGGCACATTTGTACGGGGGTCCCCGTGGTGGGTGGAGGGGGGCATCTCTCTCCTGGGTGGACCCCTGAATGGGAATGAGAGATGCCACAGAGTTCTGTCTCATGAACCCATGAGATCCCACTGCCTCGGACAACCACAAGGGACCATGACATTCCAAGCATCTTATGACTATCGGGACTAGAAGGACCCTTAAAGATCAGCCCAATATTCTCATTTCACAGAAGGGGAAACTGAGGCCTGAAGAGGGTGAGGGGCCAGTTCAATATCCCACAGCTGGCTTTAGAAGGGTGTTCATAGATGCCTAGTTCAAACCATATTATTATTACTATTGTCCCAACGACTTTAAGAGAAGGATGCTCTATTCATTCTCATTTTATAAATAAGGAAGTTGAGGTTCAGAGAGGTTATGTAGCTTTTCCAAGGTCACACAGCTTCTAATTACAGGCTGGGACTAGAAGCCAGGTTTGTTTGACTCCAAAGCCCACACTGTCAGCCAGCACACTCCCTTAGAAGATACTTAACATGTTAAATTACTAACTCAGAAATGAAGGCCTAGAGGATGAAAATGTCTCTTCCCCAACTCCCCCCCACCCCTCAGATGAACTTGGTGTGATGTCTGTGGAGCAAGGGAGTACAGGTCACTCTAATCACCATCTGCAACGGAGGAAACATTTTCAGAAAGCAACCCATCCTCCCGTGCTGCTCAGGACCTGAGCTGCTTCAGTCCCCTCCCTAGCCCGAAAGGGACCGAGGCTGTGGGAACAGCAGGGAGACACAATTCTCATCTCCCAGGGAGTGTGGTCACTTGACTTCCAGAAGCCAAACTGCACCTTTGGGGTTGCTGGGCAAGGACCACGGATGGGGAGCCCCGAGGGCTCTTGCAGGAGAAAGCTGGCAGCTACCAGCCAACAGGAGAAAAGCCCGTCCCCTCCAGACCTCAGGAGGCAGACGGCTTCCCCGATGCCAGGGATGACATCATGGACAGAACTTTCCTGTAAGAGGCAGGCCAGAGGTTCCCATCCTTGTTTCCCCCAGGGGTCCCTTTTATTATATATTTTTTCCTCCAAATGGGTCTCATGTTTTGATGGGGCCCATTCACCAAACGGCACTGGCTAATAACTGGCTTTTCTATTTAATAACTGAGTCAAAGACCTATCTTTGGAGAGCCCGGCTCAGAAGTCCAGTCCCTGAGTGCTGATATCAGCTCTGCCGCTTCCTAGCAGTGTGACTTTGGGCAAAGCTCTTCACCTCTCTGAGCTGCAGTGTCTCCACCGGGGAAGCAAGGTAAGAACACGTCACCTGTTGTGAAACCCCCAGGGCTGGCCTGACATCCACTCTCAGTCCTCCTAGAAACCAACTCGAGAGCTGTGACGGGGGAAGTGAGGGTAGGCTGTGATCTCCCCAGGCCTGGTGGAGACGTCTCCCGGGTGTGGCAGGCTGTGTGGGGAACTGTGATTTCACACCAGAAAATTCACAAAAAAATCTCAGGACCTGGGATCTATGCTTTCTAAAAATACATGTGTGTACATGTGTCTGCGGTCACGTGTGTGGGTGTGCCCGTGTGCACCGTGGTTGCGTGCGCACCTGGAGGAGGATAAAGTGGGCTGACAGGTCATTTCTCACGTTGCTTCCAGAAAGATCTTCCTTAAAGGTAAAATGGATCACATCACTCCCTGGCTTAAAACCCTTCTGTAGCTCCCCAGTGCCCTCAGGAAAATGTCCTAGCTTCTACCCCAACCTCCACAGCCCTTGGGCTCTGCCTACCTCTCTAGTTACAACCAGGAACACCCCACAGAGATCTGACACCCTGGTGCTCCGGCTGGTCTGCTTCCTGGACTTCCTAACACTTGGGGGCTGTTCTCTCTCCCTGGCATGCTATTTCTTCCCTCTCCTCCTGGCAAATTCCTATTTAGCTGTCAACACACAGCTCAAGAAACCTCTTCAGTGAAGGCCACTGACTCCCGGAGACAGAACAGTCACTCTGGCTGTGCTTCCACATTACCTGGACATCCTTCCAGGACAACTACAGGTCTAGCTTGTTCTAGATTATTAGCTCCTTGATGGTAGGGAGGGCCCGTGGCCTCTGGTAACTCGCTCAGGATTGGGTACTGAGGGGACATTGAAATGTACGTGGAAAATCTAGAACAAATCCACCTTGGCCCGACGCTAACGCACGATTTCCATGCTGAGGCTGCCTTTTAACGATGCTCAACATCCTGAAGAGAAGGACGCCCGTGTAAACAGCTGAGGTGCTCCCCGACATCGTTGGCGACAATGACGCTGATGGTAGCTAGGGGTACCATTGCCCGCATTGTGTAACTCCATCAGCATTTCACACGCACCTTCCTCCAGCTGCATTCTCCCAGCATCCCTAGCTTGCATCGGTTTATTCAAACATTTACCAACCACCTACCCTTGGAATTTACCACCACAAAACCCTTGGAAAACACGAGGAGCGACTTTCTGGATCCTAAAACAGAATTCTCAACCTGTCTGTTTCCTCTTCCCCTCCCCCACTTGAGGATTTAGCGCGAAGACCGACCGGAAACCCATTTCCTGGTGGCATCAGACCCTCTGCTTGGGTGGAGCTTCTGTTGGGGTCATCCAGACAAGCTGGATGTCGAGTCTCCGTGTGAGCGAGTGCCCACCCCGGTCTCCCCACGTGTGCCCAGAGCTGCTGTAAGGATACAGTGGTGGGGGCAGTGGGTGGACAGGTCAGGCACAGACGGGCTGGAGATCCGGAGCAGGGACGTAGGGGTGGGGGTTGGGGAGAGGTCACGCCTGCCCCCGCCCGCCCCTCTCCGAGCCCAGCATCCGAGGCCAGGCGCGTTCCTGCCTGTGACTCATCTCCGACTGGACTGTCTGGCTACGAACTGGAGGGCGGGCGACGGTACCCCGAGGTGGCCGAACGGTGTGCGACAAGTCCACGTCACACCCACTCCGCATCACGTCCCACTCCCGGAATACCTCCACGCTGGGGTCCGCTGCGACACTCACACCTGGGCAGCTGAGGGTGTGGTTAAGGGGGGCAGCCCCGCGCTCAGGGGTCCTGGCACGGCGAGCCGGGCTCCGCGGAGGCGGCATGCAAGGGGCGGCTCGGCGCATGCGCGGCAGACAGAGGGGAGGGTTCAGCCTGCCGGCTGCAGACAGCGGACAGCGAGGGGCTGCAGGGGTGGGCTGGCCTGTGGGAGAGGCCACGTGATGTCCTGACGCCTGCGGAGCGCCAGCTCACCGCGGCCACGTACCGCGGGCTCATGGGATCGCAAAACAATCCCCCATTTTACAGATGACAACGTTGAAACTCAGAGACATTTAGGAAGCCCCGTGAGGTAGTGAGCTCCCTGCCCCAAGACTGCCCTTTGGAGGATTTTAAGCCAGGGAGCAACATAGTCAGCTTTCATCCTTTTAGGAAGGTCTCCCTGGTCTCAGAGTAGAGGGTGGACCAGGTGCGGGAGGCAGGAGGCAGAAGGGCGGGGAGCATGGGAGGCTGAGGCCAGAGATGATGGGGCTCAATGAAGGCGATAGCGACGGAAGAAAAGGGCGAGAGGCTGCGTTCATTGGTTCACCAAGTATTTCTTGAAAGTCCTTTGTGTACCAGATTTTGGGTGTTGAGGATGGAGGGGTGGGGCAAACATTGACAGGCCTGTCCTCAGGGAGCTTCCTTGCTGGAGGTGGCAACACAACGTAATGGTCGAGTTGGTTAGGTAACAGCAAGGGAAGGACCAGAGGCAGAGTGTGGGCGGAGATGGAACACGTAGATGCGGCAGCTGCAGAGGCCTTGATGAGAAGGCGACCTATAAGCAAAGACCGAGGGAGGGCGCTGTCTGAGTGGAGAGCCCGGAGAAGGGGACTCTAGGTAGAGAGAGCAGAGCGTGCAAACGCCGCGCAGGAACATGCTGAGTGGGTCTGAGGAGCAGAGCGGGCTATGTCGGGGATCCTTAAGAAGCGGGACAGATGGGGCAGACGTAGAAGGCGAGAAGAGGGAGGACTCGAGGATGACTCGCTGTGTCTGCTTGGGAGATCGGGGGATGGTGGAGAAATGGGGCCCTTGCTGAGAAGGGGGAGGTGGTACTCCAGGTCTAGACAGCCCAGACAACGACTGCTTCCCTGTGGTGGCCACAGTGAATGCTCAGGGACTATTTACTGAATGAATGAATGATGCCATCTCACAGGGCTTCCAGGAGCCTGTGCATGTGGTTGCCCAGAACCTGAAGAAAGTGAGAAATTCCAGGAACTTTTCTTACACATTAATCTTGAAAGGGTTCCGTTGGAGGGCTAGGCAGAGGCTAACTCTAGGGGCTGCAGCTGGGGGTCCCCGGGGGAAAGAAAACCTTTCTCTTCTGAAGGAAGGTCTGGTGAGGCTGGGACCCAGCTGGTGACTTTTCCAAGGGAGAAGAACATTCCTTGGCAAGTGTGGATAAATGTCATTAAATATTTGTCATATGCTTGGATGATGGAATGAATGGACTCAGGAGTGGGGAAGAGAGAGAGAAGAGTGGCAGAGAGATGGGCAGGGGACAGAGGTTTGCAAACAGGTAACTTGGTCCCAATCTTAGAAAAGGGATCCAGGTGTGGGGCAGCCTCTGAGGCAAAGAGGCCTTGTGTCTCCATGCAACATCTGGCCACGTGTGTGTGCCCCTAGGCTGCTTGGGATGCACCTGGAGATTACTGGGTCTCCTGTTGCCTTAATTTACCTGGAGTAGCCCTCTACAGGATCAGCTGCCACCTCCTTCCCCACTGCCACCATGGCCCTAAGGAGACCCCATCAACCTCTAAGGCTTAATTTACTGTCTAACCACATAAACTAGTCCATCTGCAAACTGGCCAGAATGTCCTGACCAAGTGTGTGGAGAAGCCTGATTTAGGGCTCAGAAAACCCCCAGGGGACACTGACAAGCATTATTTATAGCAGTGAAACCTGGGAGGCAACCCCAGTGTTGAGCAATAAGAGAGGACAGGCTGAGCAAATTATGGCACACTCTTATAATGGAATATTATATAGCCATGAAATCCTGTTTTTAAAGAAATTTTAATAACATAGGGGAAGACTTTCAGTATAATGTTAAGAGGGAAAAAAACCAGTTATAAAAAAAAGCAGGTTATAGAACTCTGCATACAACAAGATCCTTATTTTGTGAAAGCAAAAAAGACCCTTAGAGAAAACATATATACACAGAAAAAGATTAGAAATGAAAAAGCCTAAAGGATTCACAGATAGTGTGCTCTCTGGGCAGTGGTGGGCTAAAGGAGGATTTTTATGTTCTTTATATTTTTTACGATTTTCCAAATTTCCTACAATGAACATGTGTTACTTTCATAATCTAAGAAATCATGAAGATGAAGACTTGAAAAAATCTTTTGTGCTAACAAAGTAAAGAGTAATCAGGTGAAGAATCCAGTGGTAGTTAACTCATCACAAGTTTTTAAAGCTAATTTGATTGGTTTTGAACATGTCGTTTGTTACTGCAAAGATTTAAAAAAAATTAACTTGTCTTTGAACTCACCTTACCGCTAAAGAGCTTTATTAAAATGTTAGGGAAATAATCGCCATTGTTTTTAACCTTCATCAAATTCTCCCTGGCACTTGAGCAAATCCTATTTGCCAAATTTTTGAGGGAACGGTTTTTGCCACGAACCTGAGTGTTTTATTTTCAGGCAAGCTATACACTTGGCAAAAATAATAACAATAATAGACCTTGTGTTTGTAAAACACTTTATAATCCGCAAAGCATGCTCAGTGCTGGGTATTACTCTAGGCTCTGGGAATATCGTGAGCGAGCAAAATGGTTCAAAGCCCCTTCTTTGGGGGCATTTATGTTCTATTAATGAGGGCAGACAATAAACAAATGAATAAGATATATAGATGTTGGGGGTGATAAATACTACGGAGAAAAGTGGGGAGAAGAGGGCTAAGGAATAAATGGAGGGGCTGCTCTTTTAAATCAGTTTGAGTACTTCTGAATAGAAAAAAATATGAACGTGTTTCCTAAAATTCTATAGCCCTTGGACAATGAACATATCGACATGAGATGACCGAAGCTATCCATGGAGGAATCATTCCTGTAACTAATTACATATCATCTAAGATACAATGTGCTAATTATCAATTTTACAAGCTCTTAAAATTCTGATGAGTCATAGTGATGTTTTAAGTATTCTATACCTAGTAAAGTCAGATAGCCCTGAATCGTTCTAAGCCTCAGTGTTCTCATCTGTAAAATGGGGACAATCATAGTACCTAAATCAGAGGGCTGCTGTCAGAATTCAAAGAGAAAATGCATATGCTTGGGAAGCAGCGTGTGTTCAATGCATCAGAATGCAGACACTGGGAGAGGGCCATTTGATATTGCCATATGTATCCTATATATTATTTCTTCACTCCTCACACCTGTACTGGGAGGTGTGTAATATTGTTCCTATCTTCAAGAGGAAATTGAAGTTCTGAGAGGTAAATCTCTTGCCCAGAATCACTGCTATAACCCAGTCCAGTCCAAGAAGCCATGCTCTCAGCCCAGAATTTTGTGTCAAGGGGCTCCAGAAGCCCTCCTGGCCTCAGTTTCTCCCTTTTGGAAGCTGAGAGTAGATTTACACCTTCCTGCCCCTTCCCCTGTGTTCTGAGCACTTCCAGGGCAAAGGCTTCAGGTAACAGGCCTCTGAGTGTCTGACCCATTATCCCCAAAGACGACAGTAATGCCCCATCAGCTGTTCCCTATCAGCTCTGCTTCAAATACTGTGTGAACCAGGAGACACAGACCTCCTAATTAGTTCCTGATTAACTCCTTTGGGAAGAAGAGGTGACTAGGGGCAGGCGGTAGGCTACAGAGGGAGAAAAGGAGAGCGAGTTTCTGTGTTGAAGGAGCCGCGAGGAGCCAGCCCATTCTCTGTCTCCCCAGGTCCCCACCGGGCAACATGTGGACAGACCCACCCCTCCTTTGCTCCCCGTTCTAGGCTGCTGGGCCACAGGTGGCCAGGATCAACACAGGTGTCCACAAGCTGGACCTTTGCTTTCTTCCCAACAACACTCCTGACGACCTACACCCTCCACGCCACCCCAAGGATCCCAGCATCCTCCCCTAGACACTGGGCCTCGCCTGCTCTGCTCTGGGTCTGAGGCCCCAGCTGCACAGACCAGCCACATCTCTTCCTGGGCCCTTCCAGCTCTGAAGCTCTAACCTCTCAGTCAGCCACTGGCTCCATTTCCTCCCAGAGGTTCATCACGTCTGGTACCTCGTGGCTCAGTTGCCTAGACGAACACACCACAGTCAGCATGGGATCAGGGCTGGGATCCCTCAGACTCCTAGCTGTCTCCTTTCTCTGGTGGCTGCTCCCCTGCTGCTTTCCGCTGCCTGTCTCAACTGTCACCACTGGAATGTCCAAGCCACCTGACTGCCTGATGGCTCCTCAGGGAAAGCAATCCTCCCCACACCCCCAAAGCCCCGAGTGGAGGGAAGTGTGGCGAGTGTGTGAGCAATACCTGGGGAGCCCTCCGCTGGGCCAGCAGACATCAGCCAAGGACCAAAGGAAAACAGCCAGTCAGATCGTCTTTTCCAACCCGGATGGAGACTGTGGGTAGGAAGGGGAGAGCTGGGGGAGGAGGGAACATCCGAGAAAGGGCAGGCCCTGAATTGCAATCAGATATCAACAAGGCCCTGGGGGATTCAAAGGGCTCCTTGGAGGGGGCTTGAGGGAGGGGGTCATGTCCCCACCACCTCAGGGGAACTCACTCTGACCCAGCATCTACTGGTGCTGGACTCTTCACAAAATGACACCTGTAGCCAACCTGAATTGAGTACTGGCTCAAGCACACTGCTAGCACCCCCACAGGCATCATCTCACTTAATCCTCCCAGCTCACCTTCCCCATGTATCAGATGGGGAAACTGAGGCCCAAGAGTGGTTAAGTGTCTTGCCTAAGGTCACACAGCTAGGAAGTCAGCCAAGCCAACCTTCTGGTTCCTAAGCCCTTAAACATTCTGCTCACAACAGCATCCTGCCTACCTGTCAGCGGGGGACACTGAGGCACAGGGAGGTGAAGTCACTTGTGCCACTAGAGCAGTCAGGATGTTTGAGGAGTGAGACCAGAGGAGGATCCTCAAGGTAGGTGTGCCCGTGGGACTGTGTGGATCAAGCCCAAGGACCAAGCTCCTGGAGCCCCTTCCTCTCACACCTGTCACTTGTTCCCGCCCCTTCCCAGCCTGGGCCTGGCCACCCTTGCTGGCAGCGACGTGGGATCAGGAGGGCCAATCTGGGTCCTCGCGCGCCAGCCTCTAGACCGCGGAGCCCGATGCAGAGAGAGGAAGGGCTGCGCGAGTCAGCCGGGGGTGGGGTGGGCACTACCCAGCTTCCCAGGGCGTTTGGGGAGGGGCGGCTGGGCCATTTGGCGCTGCGCAGCCAGCCAGAGCAGCGGCCTCGGACTCAGCCTCGGGTCCCACTTACCGCGCAAAGGAAAGTCTGCCCCAAAGAGGGACAAGGTGCGGCGGAGACGCGCCCCCTCCCACCCTTGGTGTTGAGACAGGCCACCGCGG